TATATTTTGAAAATCGAATTTAATCTTGTAAACACTGGTCTAATGTTTGCTATTGCTATATTTACTAATGACATCGAAATAAATTTATTTAGAGGTCATTGATATTTTACTATAAACTAACTAAATATTTTTAAATATTATTTTTATTTTTTTTTTGGTTCTTTGACATTGTAAACATTTATAAATGTTTATTTTAAACAATAAGACTGACAATATTATTTGTATAATGTTTTGTATTATCTTTTGTTTGTTTGTTTGTGTACCTTTTTTTTTTACTTTGTTTGTTTACCTTTGTCTACAAAGTGAAAAATTTTTTGACAATAAAGGCATTTATTTATATATTTATCAAAGGGGTGCCAAGTTAATAAAGGGCTTAAACAAGGATATTGTTTCTCACCATTACCTTTTAAAATTTATCTTGAACAAGCACTTAAAACATGGAAGCTGAAATGCAAAGACATGGGGATACCACTAACTGATGATTCCACCCTGTATACGTTATGCTTTGCAGACGATCAAATAGTGTTAGCTCAGGATTATGAAGATCTACAATATATGTCAAAAAAACTCGTAGAAGAATACAAGCATTGGGGTCTTGAAGTAAACCTATCTAAAACGGAATACATGTGTGTTGGTGGTACACAACAAGATCTAATACTTGAAGAACAACATCAAATAATTAAGCATTGTAACAAATATAAATATTTGGGTATGACTATCACACAGGACGGGACAACGGAGCAAGCAATCCAAGAAAGAAATACGCAAGGACGAAGAGCTATTAGCCTACCTAAAAAAAGGGAAGCAAACGAGTTGCTTGGTTTACCAAACCGTTCCGTATCAAACCGATGTTTTTCAGGAACCGCTCTTTACCGTAGTTTACCGGCTTGGTTCGGCTGGTTTTGCAAGGGACTACAACCTTAGCTGATGGATTGACGGATTAAGCTTGATTTTCATGCATCCGTTATCCGTTGATACCAGTTGATACCTTTGTTGATACCTTATAAAAAGGCTGATACCATAGAGTTAAAAATTAAAAGCTGATACGATGGTCTGACGGCGCGGCGCTCTGATTGGGCATAGCGTTTTCGCGTCACTTTTCATCCGTAAATTTTTTACTCCAGCCCGTCAAAGGAGAAAGATCGTACGATATCGGACGTTTTGACACTTTTTTAACAAATTTAATCTAACCTTAATCAAAATATACAAGAACTAGCAACGTCGGTTTGGTTTGGTTTGGTTTTCGAAAAAACTAGAATTCTAAGAAAGCTGGTAGGTTCTTTGATATATCTTTCGATATGCTCCTCTCTGCTCTCCTGATCAAAGTGCGGTCCATCTGACTTCCAATAGACTATTGCGGTTCGCTACTGTGCATCACATCTGTATAGGGTATCCCATTTTCGTCTCGTTTATGGGATTTCTCGTTTATGAGTAGAAACACAATGATGCGATTTTCACATTACTTTGCTACATTTTTATGAAACTAAATATGCTACACATATGTTTGGCCTAGCCTTCTTAGTTCCTGAAATACAGGGCCAATTTGTGATGCGCAGTAGTGGACGCAATGTCTACCGGTACTCAGACGGTCCGCACTCTGTTCAGGAGAGCATAGCTAAAGATATATTAAAGAACCAGCTTTCTTAAAATTCTCACTCGAAAACGTTGCTAGCTCTTAGACTATAAGTAAAACAGCGAAATCATTATGGAAATGAAAATATGACACCAATTACTAACAAATCGTATATCGATGAACGGAGGCATAAAAATGCAATGAATTTAAAAACAGCGTAATTTTCTAACCAGTCGAAGTCCTTAAATTCAACCAATAAAATTAATATCGTATCATCGTATCGTCGGATAATGGATGCATGAAAATCAATAATCTAAGAGCTAGCAACGTTTTCAAGAAAGTATTTTAAGACGTCTGGCTCTTTGATATATCTTTTACTATGCTCTCTGGAACAGCATGCGGCCCGTCTGGCTGCCGATACCCGTTGCGTTCACTACTGCGCATCGGAAGAAGATCCTATATTATTTATAATTTAGTCCTATAAATTCTAGTATTGAATATAAATCGAACATGTCTCCATAGCGCAGTGCGTAGAGTTTCCGACTACGAACCGAGGATACAGAGTTCGAATCCGGGTAGGGGCATTAAATAATTATTAGAATCCGGGTAGGGAGTATTAAATAATTCTGGCGATTCAAAAAAGAAGCAACTATTTAATACTGTACTATCAGAATATAAACGAAAATAAAATAAAAAAGTTTTTGCACTGACCCGGATTCGAACTCTGACTCCTCGCTTGATAGGCAGAACCTCTACGCGCTGAGCTATGGAGACTCGGTCGGTTTATATTCAATACTAGAATTTAAAGGACCAATAAAAATATAGGTATATATAAATATCTTCTTTCAATGCGCAGTAAGGAACGCAACGAGTATCGGAAGCCAGATGGGCCGTATGCTGTTCTAAAGAGCATAGTAAAAGATATATCAAAGAGCCAGACGTCTTAAAATACTTGTTTTTACGACGTTGCTAGCTCTCGTACTACAAGCTTAAAGCTTGACTGGAGATTTTGTCTGAAGAAACGACAGAACACATTTTATGTCAGTGCTACAGCCTGGTAAATGTGCGATTCTTTGAATTAAGTTAAAATAGGCCATTGACAAAGAGTCATATGGGGAGTTTGATTTACTCTGCATGTTACTGGACTTTTCTAAAAGGATAGAACTGGAAAATCTAACCTAGATATTATAAGAGGGAGAGGATAAGTTGAAGTGGAACATATCGGTAGCCACCTCAAAAATGTAATCTAATGTTTATTTTAAAAGTATAATACTTCGTTGCCATTTTGGCGTCATAACACTACAGTTGCACAAAATATAAAGGAAAACTATAATAATTTTATATTTAACGTAAAAAAGAAATATGTTTTGTTAGACGGGGACTCTCGTAGGGTAAATGTATAGATAGATTCTTTATTTGTTCTGAGGATTAGTTATGTATTAGAGTCTTATTGCTTTGGCTTTTGTATTAGTTATTGGTAATTAATAAACAATCAACTTAAATTAAATTTTATTATACAAAAATTGTACATCTAAAACAAATTTCATTTATTATTTTCTATCAGGATAGGAAATCTTTGGCTCTCTTAATATTTTTTGATAATAATATTTATTAGTTTTGTTTACAGAAATCTTCCATAAAAGCTTGGGGGATAAAGCATTATAGCGATACTAATTAAACTTTTAGTTACGTAATCGTGGGCGCTATTTTTAAATTCATTGTTGCCAATCATGGACATATACTGCTGCATAGACTGCTGTAAAAAATGAAAAATTGCCACATTTATTTATTTCCTGACATTGTCATGGTGGCTTTAGTTTTGTATTACGAGTTTTTGGTTTAAATGAATTGTGTTGTGATATTTAAGCAAAAAAAAATATTAGTACACCTTGCAGTCGAACATTATTTTTTTAGAATCTTTTTGAGTGCGAAGTATACAAGATAGCTTAATAGCCGTTACAAAAACCTCATCGCAACCTTATTAGTATATTTTGAACGGTAAAACGGTAGTAATGACCTTTTATGACCCTTAAGTGCTGCCAAGGAGGTGAGTTTTGTTGATGTAATAATAAATGTTTAAATATTTATAATTTATTTATTTTTGTTTCCTAAAATATTTTGATTAAAAGAAAATATATAAATGTGGACAGAGCTGTGCGGGTCAAGCTTAATCACATGACTAAAAGTTTATTTGGTATGATCATAAGTGTTCTCACACGAAGAAGTTTTGAGGGTATATAGTCTGTGAAGCGAAAAACTTTGAATTTGACAGTTCCCGCGGGCTTTTCTAGTGTTAATTTTATTAGGTTAGCAACTTGCAGCCCTGCTGACACAATGCCGTCTCTAATAAAACAGCCTCACTTGACTATGGCTGAAATCGCACTCCATAGTCAATATAGATAGTTTTAGTGTTAAGAATAATAATTTTAAAAAATATGTGGTCATCTTTTGACAAGTTTATATTAGTTTATTAATTGTAGTAAACATTATGTGGTGTGTGGTGTGAATATTTTATATGTAATTTTTTGGATTATATTCGACACTATTTTTTTCATATGACACAACACATATGAAAGCTATAATGTTACCCGAAACTTTTTTTTAACCAAATAAAAATAATGAAAAACTAAATCCCAAGAAAATCAAAAATTTTAGAATAATTTTACATATAAAATGACAGCGATCTTTATTTCATAGCCATCACTGACGCCTTTTTTTCTATGATATTGTATTATTTGCAAATATAATTTTTCGAACATTGATACTTGCAAAATATACATATAAATTTTGAATGTGAATGCAAATATTAATACATCACTATTAGTAGATATTGAATGTTTTTTTTAAATTAGATCGATATTCAAACCCCAAAATTTAAAATATATTTTACATTTTATCCATTATCTGATGTACCTATTCATTATTTGTATATTGTAAAACATTTGCTGCCTTTGTGTGGTTCATAGTTTATTTGCCAAAGCATTTATTACTATAAATAGGTATATGTATTGTATTTATTAACTGTATATTATGTATATTTCATGTAAACTATATCATTTTTAAAATACAGTGTTTATGAATGAACATGTATCAATAACAATGTATCATGAATACATGTTTTCCATGTATTCTACAACATATTTATTAATCCGTAGTATCTAACTAGCGTGACGTCATCAATCTCGCTCCAAGGCTGTTCTATTGGAGACGGCATTGGTCTGATATTTAGAAATGTCAAAAGCTGATGACATTTTACTTTTGGCAATTATGACATTTTGTGTTGATTTTTGGAAGAAGAGGAAGAACTGTCACTTGTTTTATTATTTTCCTTTTCTATTTCACGAAAGTAAACAGAGTTACCTATCTGATTCGTTCAGGCACTCAGTTTAAAGAATATCAGTAACTTTTTGACAGAGGGATTTTATATTTGCCATTTTGGTAAAAAATAACGGTCAAAATTCAAAGTTATTCATTTTATAGACTATATACAGGGTGACGTTTTCATACGACGCGGCCTCTCGGAAAAACGACAAATTTCATTGTAACTAAATTTGGAGCAGACGTAGTTTTGTGTAGACTATGTTTCAAATTATTTTCAAGCTTTGATAAGGGTGTCCAAAAAGAATTATGCTTCTTTCTTTTTTAACGGTATACCTTATATATTAGTTAATTCTACGAAGAAAAATAAGCTTAAGACCAGATTCATAAAAGAAATTTTTGTCGGTATTTCCAAAAATGAAGAACAAACCTCTTTTATAAAACTGGACTTCATTTTGATTCTAAAATAATGAAGCTAACTAATATAGTTTTGCGGCCTCCTTATAGTGGTCCAAATGATAAATACATACAGAGGTCCATACAATAATTTTCTAGGAGAGTCCGAGTAATATGAGAGGCGCCATCCTGTATATTTTATTTTAAAGAGGGGTCTTTAAAATAAAAATAAAATATATTATATAATCTCTCTCTGTAAAATGGCAACTAGAGAATTAGTTGTATAGAGTTGTATAAATAATTATATAAAAATATAGCTACCTAATTAGTATATACAATAATTATTCTCACATATTTACTATACTATAAATAATAATATAAAAATATTTTAATACATATTAGTTAGTACTTAACCCTGTTTAGTTTTATAACAATATAATAAATTGAAGTACAAAAATTATACTATAGGTTTATTTGAGATTATGCAGTTTCTTGGACCAATTTACTAAAAATGCACCAGTTCGTTTATTTGAAGAAAATTATTTAACAAAATAATTCTTTTTGACTTTATCAGAGATATGTTTTGTAGTTTACATACAGCTTAAGAAATCTTAGTTAACGTGGGGTGAAAAGTTGTGGCATTTTTATTTATATACAATATTTACATTCGTGATATACGGTGTCAACCATAATATTCGTGCAAAAGAGCCATTTTTTTACAGGCCATACATTTTTTTATTTTTTTTTATTCATTTTTTTTCATTCATTCAACTTATAGGTGCAGTAATAATAGTTTATTATCATGTAAGCTGTGAATGTATCAATTTTAATTACATTTAATTTTAAGGTCTGTTAAAAAAGTAGTTCAACATCTTAAATTTTCTTTTTTTGAGAATACTTTAAATATACTAGCTATAAAATATCTCTACCTCTAGATACCTCTAAAAGGTATCTAGAGGTAGAGATATTTTATAGCTAGTTTGCATGATTGTCAAAACATATACAACAGGATTAATCATTTTAGAACAAGCAGCATCTTTTATGAAGAATGTATTTTCCTTTAAATGTCAATAACAAAAAAGTTTTTCCTCTTGTAAAAACAATCCGGGGTGTAGGTACATAATAATATACTGTAGGTACATATGCCCTTTTAATAATAGTAAAAATCAAGTCAAACAACTAACAAAAATGGTTCTAATTTAATGCGGATTTTATGAATGACACTGTATAATCGTTATTTACAGTACAAGTGTGTTTATGAACATTATTATAACGAGTGTGAACGATTAGAACGACGAGGTCGTAGACCGAGTCGTTCTAATCACACGAGTGTTGTAATCATGTTTAAACGCACGTGTCATGTACAACGTTAATATTATATTATTATTCGGTGGTTTTATCTACAACCGAAAAATAAGAAAATGCTGTTTTAATTTTCGTTTATTAGTCGCCCACCTTTAACTATGAAATTTGTTACATTTTTTTAATTATAATTGTGACAGACAGACCTTCGACCTTTCAGTTAGACCTTTACTATTATCATTGTCATCATCATTAGAGGAAGGAATGTTTTAAAGAAGTGTAAAAAATGTGTTATTAATATTTATAATAATTAGTAGTAGGAATTTGTATCAAAAAATTAATATATTTAGATGTTCGTAGTTGTTTCATTATTATAAAAATTAGTTGTGTTATAGATCCATAACACCACGAGTTGTGTTATGAATCTCATAACGTAACTGAAATACTATAAAAAATTGTGATGTAAAAACGTTATAACTAAACGGTTGTAGATAAAAATATTTACTAAACTTATTTTTAATTAATTTAAAATATCTTATTGTATGTTAATATTAAATCTTGAATTTATTATCTTATTTTAAAAATTGAGCTATATCTTCTAGTGAATTATTAGAATATATCAAACATTTCGATTTTTAGGAATTTTATAACAGTATTGTGCAGACATTTAATTTTATTTTTAATGAATTTATTAATATAAAATGTTAGATATAAAAGAATAGATTTTAAGTGTAAATAACCTCTGTTACTGTTTGATGACAAAGTTTTACCTACTTGAACGAACATTTTAAAGAAATGAAATCTGCAAGGAAATGCGAATCAGTCTTTTACAAATTATGCAAAAGTATTACAAAGTAAAATTTGCCTTACATAACAATAACCAATTTTACACTCCTAATGTATAGTTTGTTATATTTACCTAAACATATAAAACACTTATAAACACACTTTATTAAAAAGTTTTAATTTAAAAAATTATTTGAGCTGAGTTTACACCCTGTAACCCTTTTCATGATGAATCTTATTTATTTATATATTTATGTTAATTATTAATTAAGAGTAAAATTTGTTTAATAAATTATTTATACATATAAAATACACTTAATCAAACAATAATTTTATGAACATATTTTTATACATTTGAACAGATACCCTGCATATTTAACATAGTCTTTCATAGATACCAAATGATAAAACTTTGCAAGTACGATTTATGTCTTACAAGCTGTTTTATTTTGGTTCTATAATCTTAAAATAATTTCAATTATACTAATATCAAAATCAACAAGTCCTAATGCAATATTTCCCAGTCTTACATGATATCCTTCCTCGTTAGTTTAGTAACTATCTACATTATTATATACAAACAGTATCGCCCCCATTTTATTTCAGTATTTTAACAGTCATCAGGATATTAAAAAATGATTAGAAAATTGTGTAAATACAGGTTGTCAAATCATTTACTTTTAGACATTTTTTAAATTACTCATTATCCGTCTCCCTAAATTGTAGTATTAAACAGTGGCGGCTTAACCATGAGGACAAATGGTCAGTGCCCCCCCCAAAAAAATCAGGAGAAAATTAGAAAAACCTATTTAAATTATACTTTTTGCAAATCACTTTTTTCATCCAAAAATATTCAAAACTATTCCCAAAACTCTTCTTTTCTTTTGCTTGAAAACGTTTTATTTTGCCCATTTTCTCTACTGCTGGTCAAAATTTAATTTTCTCCTTCGTTCCCTTTATAATAATATATAATAAGTATAAACTCCAAATGCCGCGGTTCGTGACGCCAACAAGGTAAGGTATAGTACGTATAGAAAATATAATAGGTTAAGGTGCGAAAGATATAGTTTATATTGGCCATTGACCGCGTCATACATAAAAGGATTTCAGTCATATCACTGGAAAAATTTCGCCGTTTGGGTGTTTATAAAAACTGATATTATAAAACACCCTAGCAATATTTAAATTATTATATTAATATTTAAATTTTTAATATCAAAAGAAATCCGATCTAGTTTTAGTTGTCGTAGCTTTGTCGTACCCTCGGTAGTACCCTTTGAAGTGTAGCGCGAAATTTGTGTAGGTAATAATTCATAATTTCCTGGTGATGGATAAATGACGCACTGTCGCTGACTTCTGGAATAGATATTTTTAAATAGACAACATGGTGTTTAGTTTGTAAAATCGGAACTACTTCTCTATATGAGTTTGCAGTTATATTTTGCATCGTAAATTAATATACAGTCTCAGAAGTAAGTGAAGATATTTTAACTGGTAGTATATTTCGACCCCAGAAACACGCCTATGAGTTTTTTTTTTGCGAAAAAAAATTGTTAAAAATTTTAAATGTTTCTTCACATTTTCTTGAAATTTAAAAAACTTTTTAGTGCCACTTGTTTATTCACCTGAGATTTCTCTACGGTTTATCTAAACCTTGCACTGTTGCGACCTCCTCGTTATCCATATTCTAAATATTTCTGTATTTATAAATTCACAGCAATTTAAAATTTCTATACAAAAAAATAGGAATGTTAATATTAATCTTTCTAATAGTTCTAAAAAACACATTAATTATTTTTAGTACATACCATTTCAATGAAAACCTGGTAACCACCGAATATAAACTATATAAAACGTTACTTTTAAGGTTTACGAACATCGAAAAAGGGAACTGTCACAGTTACTGTCATAAGTATCTTTTTTTAATGTTGTGGGTAAGTTTTTTTTTCTTTTAACTTATTTTGTGTAATAATAACACCATCTTAAAAATGTAATGGAGCTCTGCTAAACTCCTCAACTGGTACGATTTTTTTATTTATTTTTAAGCATATACTTTCTTGACTATATTCGGCAACACAGAGCGTCAAATTATCTGAGATCCGGGCACCGATTCTGCCGATGGTCCTCAAAACATTGCCATTATTTTTTAAATTTTGAAAGTTAAATTACTCGGTTATTTTCAATTTATTTTAAAAATGTTAAAGAGAAAATATGTTTCTTTTGATCAGATCTACCACCTCTTAAAATATCTGCACTAATTTCTGGGACACCCTGTATATGACGACCTGCATTTCTATATACTAACACTGCTTATTACTTCTAAACCGTTGTACTATGTATACTTTGTGTACTTATTGTATAATTATTCTCCTTTCTGAAGATTTCGACATCTTTAAAAATCTGGCCAGCATCGTCCTGTTTAATTCTTGACCAAAATTCAGTATTTGTGGACGTCTTCCACAACTTCTCTTTTAATCAGGCCGGCAAAGTACAAAGGTACTGCACAGGATCTTTGACTTGACTTGGGAGAAGGTACCCTTGGGCATCTACAAGGTCGCCATTGGAGACGGTCTTGGGCAAGGGAGGTGGCCTAGGCAACGTTTTCAGTTTCATCTCCGATGCTCTTTTAATTAATGACAGCTCGTCTAGCGATGCCATTTCGAAGATTTCATTCTTCCATTCGTTCCGTAGCTTCAGAGTTCCCGAACTTTCTTGGGAGTCTGGTTCATCCTAAAATAATAAAATATATAGGGCAGGGGCAACGGTAAACGGCAACGCTGTTTTCTACACCATGGCCAATTTCATTCAAATATTCAGAGGCGTGAGATGAAATCAGGAATTACTAGAATTAGAAATTTACTGGAACATTCTACAGTAAACTTTATAATATTATTTTACTTTTCATATAAAGCTACATTTTATTTACTGATTTGCAAAATATAGTAATATTTCTTGAAAAAGAAAGTCCTATGGGTATTTCGCCACTTATACAGGGTGATCCAACCTAACCGGAAACTTTGGCAGCATATTCTGCAGATAAAAATAAATAAAAATGTTCGTATAAATGTATGTCCTAAAATGCTTTGTTTCGGAGATACGGGGTGTAGAAGTAAAGAATTTCTGAAGTAGCATCAATATTTAGATGAAAATTCGTGTCTGGAAGTTTTTTGGCATGATAAATTTGATTTTGATGTCCATATGACTCCTACTTGTAGAGGGCGCCACCTACATGTGTTTTAACCGTTTTGAAGAGCAATAATTTCGTCCGTACCTGTATAAAACTACTGAGTTAAAAAATATACATATACATTCACTAATAATGGTTCTTGAGATATTTGGAATAGAAATTATCATTACCTCTCATCATTGCCATAAATTATACATGTTGACTAAAGAGTTATTAGAGTGAAATCATAAATTTGAAATGTCTTTGTGCCAAAAGTTCAACAAAAACTGTTTTTCATAATTTTTTCGAAGAAAAATTTATGATTAATTTAAAAAAAAATAAAAAATTCCCAAATTAATCATTTCAGTCAAATAACTTCTCGTATCTACTCAACATAATGTATGTTTACCTTTTGTCAATAATGACATATATTGACTATTTCCATTCTAAATATCTTGAGAACGGTTGCTCGTAGAGATTTTTACCAAGAGACATTTTTTGCGTAAAAAATCACGGAAATGTAGATTTTTTTCACTCAGTAGTTTTATACAGGTACGGACGAAAAGTTATTACTCTTCAAAACAGTTATAATATATGTAGGTGGCGTCCCCTACAAATAGAAGTCATATTGACATCAAAATCAAATTTTTCATGTCAAAAAACTCCCATACACGAATTTTCATCTAAATATTGATGTTACTTCAGAAATTATTTGAAAAACATCGAAATAAATATGAAATTTCTTCACCCTGTAGCTTGGAAACTAAGCATTTTAGGAAATGCATTTATACGAAGTTTTTTACCTATTTTTTATTTGTAGAATATGCTACCGAAGTTTCCGGAATACAGTTCGAACCACTTTGTATATAAAACAAAAACTACAAAATATCTTAAAATGTGTCATATTGATCATTACTCCTTTTCTAGGAGGTATTGGGTAAATAAAGGAATTTTTGACTCTACTACGTAATGCTTACTTTATCAAGTAAACTGTATTCCCTATCATCCCCTTGCTTCCCCTTGCTATTGAAATAGGCGTCTTCGAGGATACTTCTAATAAGAGGAAAGGAAATTCTGTGTTTAGGCTCAGTTTTCCAGCAGTTTTTCATCAGTTCGCAAATAAGTAGGGGACACCTTTCTGGGGGTATTAACATTATCCCCTCTAGGATTAATTTAACTACCTGAAACAATGCAAAACATACATTCAGTATAAAAACGTGAACAATCTTGAGCAGGGGCATGTACGCAGAGGACCCATTTTTAATAATTTTTAACAAATTTACGCCAATAAACTCAAACGTTAAAAAACTTGTCCGTTAAAAACGCATTGAACAAAAAACTAAGAAAAGTCCCCGGATTGTCTTTACAAGTCGAAACACTTTTTTATTATTGACATTTTGAGAAAAATGCATTCTTTATAAAAAAATTTGCTTGTTCTAAAATAGTTAATCCCGTTAATACTTTTTCCAAATTTCCATACCGTTTTAGAGAAAATTAAGAAAAACATGAAAATATGGTTGAATTTTTTCCTAGTTATTAATTTTAAGTACTAAAAATCAAAAGGCTGTGGCTGTGGTTATATCATTTCGATTTCATTCTTTGATAGATGGTTATTATTAATTTTGATTAAAGTCATATTCTTTGCTGTTCTTAAAGTATCATATTTTCCGATAATTATCATCACCCTTATCGTAGCATTGAACTAAATAAATGTTGTATTTCTTTAACATTTTAAATCAGCAAAAAGTGTTATGTTAATTAAAATTAGATGAATAACAATCTATCAATGAAAGAAAGTTAATTTAATTAATTTAATTTTAAGTTAATTGTGTTTTATACCTATATGTATTTTATTTCATTTTATTTTATATTTTGACTTATGTACGCCACTATTTGTATGGTATTGACATCAATAAATTATTCTATTCTATTCTAAAGTGAATTAAGATTACTATAGAAACGCTTTTTAATTTTTACGGGTTTAGAAAATATACTATATTTTCATGTTCTTCTTAGTCTTCTTTAAAACGGCATGGAAATTTGGAAAAGTATAAACGGGATTAACCATTTTAGAACAAGCAAAAATTTGTATGAAGAATACATTTTTCTCAAAATGTCAGTAATAATTTTTTTCCTCTTGTAAAGACAATCCGGGGACATACTGTATATTCACATATAAAAAAATGAAGAAATGCCATGAAAACCATTTTAAAACACCTCTTTTCAGTCGGTTTTTATTTAACATTTTTTTTAACAAATTTACAGTTTTGTAGGTTTGTTGTTCTTTTCGGTATATAAATTGTGATATTTTTATTTATATTATAGAGTAAAATTACAAATAATCTGTCTACGGTATGTCCCCCGATGGTCTTTGAAAGAGGAAAAACTTTTTTTTTCTTAACATTTTGAAGAAATGCAATCTTTATTAAAATTTTGGCTTGTTCTAAAATGGTTATTTCCGTTTATACTTTTCCAAATTTAGATACCGTTTTAGGGAAAATTAAAAAAAAAAGATAAAAATCTGGTTGAAATATTTCTAAGTTAAATCAAAACGCGTTTCTATGGTAATTTAATTTCGATTTCATTTTTTAATTGATTATCGTCATATTTTTTTGCCGGTTGTTAAAGTATTTCACTTTCCGATATATAATATACTAGCGTGGAAACCCGCGACTTCGTTCGCGTCAAATTAATCATTAGTAATGGTGATGATAAAGCAAAGCAAGAATTTCCCTTAACATACAAACTGGATAAAATTTCCTCACATTTATGTCAGCACGATAAAAAACAATATGGCGATATTTGGTAATATTTGAGGGGTAGTTTCATCTCGCTGGAATTTGACTTTCGAAAAATCCGTTTGCCAAAAATAGGCTTTTTACGTCAAGCAGTTTAAGCAGAATCGTGGTTAATCAATTACCCAACTTATTGGAACACCATGTATGATGTATGAACACCAAGCGTTTTCCCGAAAGAATAACCGTTTTTTAAATAACAAATATTGTAATATTTGAGGGGCGTTTTCACCCTCTCGGAATTTGAGATTCGAGAAACCACTCCTTATCGAACCTCTACACCCCACAGTCAATCCGTTTGCCAAAAATCAGCTTTAAACGTCAAGCAGTTTAAGCAGAATAAGGGTGATTACTCAATGGTCATATTTTATGAAACACCCTGTATAAATTTTTAAAAAATCTTAAAATATGTAAAACAACAAGATAAAATATTCGCATTTAAGAGTTTTTCCGAAAAACTCATCGGTTTTTAAATAAACAATATTCTAATATTTGAGGGGTGGTTTCACCCCCTTAGAATTCGAGTTCCGATAAATCCGTTCTTATCGACCTCTACACCCTAAAGTCAATCCGTTTTCCAAAAATCAGCTTTTTACGTGAAGCGCTTTAAGCAGGATCGTGATTAATCAATGACCAGATATTTTGAAACACCCTGTATACATTTTTAAAAAATCTTAAAATATGTAAAAAACAAAATAAAATATACGTGTTTAAGCGTTTTTTCGGAAACTTGACCGTTTTTTAAATAAAACATATAGTAATATTTTAGGGGTGGTTTCACCCCCTTGGAACTGGAATTTCGAAAAATCCCTTCTTATCGAACCTCTACACCCTAGAATCAACCTGTATGCCAAAATTGAGCTTCTTACGTTGAGTGGTTTGAGCAGGATCGTGATTAATCAGTATATCAGTCACACTTAAGGATTTTATATTAGTATAGATAATATAATTATTATCACGCCTTTCCGAAGCATTGAACTAAATAAATGTTGTGCTTCTGTAACATTTTAAAACAGTAAAAATATGACGTTAATTCAAATTCTATCAATGAATGAAATCGAAACTATATTACAAAAAAAATCAACCATATTTACATGTTTTATGAAATTTTCTCTAAAACGGTATGGAAATTTGGAAAAGTATTAACGGGATTAGCCATTATAGAACAAATATTTGCCGGTCATTTCAGCCTCGCCTCAGTGTTGTTTTAATTGTAAAATGTGAACGTGTATTTGGATTAATTTTAATTGTATTTGTAAGTTATGATGACCTTTTTATTATTTGTTATTTATTTAGGTTCTTTCTTGTTAGGTCTGATGATGCTCGTATATGAGCGAAACACGTGTAACAGTTTAACATTGTATAAACGTTGAGACCGAGACTTTGAGTCTTTTTTCTACTTTTTTATTATAGAACAAGCAAAAATTATACAAAGAATGCATTTCTCTCGAAAGGTTGATAATGAATACGTTTTCCTCTTGTAAAGACGATCTAGGGACATACTGTATACAGGGTGAGTTTTCTACGATGTTCTCTATGGGTATCTCGGAAACTACTGAAGATAGAGAGTCGGTTAAATGGGGAAAGAATTGCAGTTTTGTGGGGTCATAAATATGGGCCTTTCAGATTTTTGAAAAATATCATGGCTTACTAGATATTTCGAAAAAAACCGGTTATTTTAAAAATTGTTCCTAATTCAATTATAATATATTTTAGACAAAAAGTTTTCAGATAAAAGTTGTAGATAATCACATGCTTAATGAGATTGTGTTCTCCGTTTTTTTTTCTAAAACCTGTGATTTTTGACATATGACACAAACATATGTTTTTTTTTAAATGTAAACCATAGTTGGTCATGACTTCATAAAAAGCGCCATGTTTGAAGCTTTTCAGCGATATAAGCCATAATATGTCTTTTTTGCAAAATTACCAAGTTATAGCCAATTCTTATAATTTTTAAACAATTTCACTTATAGCCATAGAAACAAGTTCAATCGTCGCGACGCATATCTGAGAGCAACGACGCGTCGTTGCTCTCAGATATGCGAAATTGTCACATCCAAAGTTTGTATACCTATTAAAATAAACAAAAATTGTAAATATGAATTTTACAAATAAAAAAAAGTGTGTAGGATTATTGTTTCAACTTTTCTTGGCCATACATTTTCGAGGATACGTTGACCGGTGAACGTTACTTATAATTTTTAAAGAACGGTTTTTAAGACATGTTAGAAAAGTCAAATTTAGATACTCGCGCATCAATAGAGTTGGCTTTCATCAACATGAACATGGCTTTCATTATGACATACTCCAAAAAAAACATATTTTAGCTTATATCGCTGAAAATCTTAAAAAATGACGCTTTTAATGAAGTCATGGCCAACTATGGTTTCTATTTAAAAAAAAACATATGTTTGTGTCATATGTCAAAAATGACAGGCTTTAGAAAGAATCGGAGAACACAAATTCATTAGGGACGTGATTATCTACAACTTTTTTTTCAGAAAACTTTTTGTCTAAAATAGATTATAATGGAATTAGGGACAATTTTTAAAATAGCCAAAATTTTTTTTTGAAGCCATGGACGTTTTCAAAAATCTGAAAAGCGCATATTTTTGACACCACAAAACTACAATTCTTTTTCCATTTAACCGACTCTCTATCTCCAGACTCTCTAGATACCAATAATCGACTCTCTAGATACCAATAGAAAACATCGTAGGAAACTCACTCTGTATAAAACATAAAACAGACGTACTAATCACAAAGACTATTTAAATACTATAATTGAAAAATACACTAAGTAATCGAAAATATTGTTTACCATGTCTTAAAAAAGAAACGTTTTAATTCTTCCAACTAATGCATAGATGAAAATTATCTGTCAGTATATCAAGAGTTTCACAAATCAAAACAAGAAGACGGCTTTACATAGAGTTAGTTCCTCAATTATATCAGTCCAGTATTAACAGAAATGTTTATGTCAAACTTTGAAATTAGATTTCTCGATATATCGTTTTCAAAAAACATACATTTGATTTAGGTATGTGGATGACATATTAATTTGCTTTATAGGAAATGAACGAGAATTAAACAACATACTTCTAACCAGTGGCGGCTGGTGCTAAAGGGCACAAGGGAACAAACCCATCCAACCGCAAATAAAAGAAAAAATATAGTATACAGGGTGTTCTAAAAAAACATATGCCATCTCTCGTGGGAAGATTCCTCACGTAAAAAAAAGATTTATTTCTTATCTCAACATAGGGCCGATTCTGCTTTGTTTGGGTTTGGTTTGGTTAGGTTATAATTAGTGATGGGATCACTCGAGCGAAATTTCGCTCGAGTACTCGATTATTGAAATAACCGACATCGCTCGATTATAAACGAGCGATGCAAGTGACGAGTACCAAGCGACGAAAGCAAGCGATCCTAGAATGAAATAAATTGAAATCCGATTTTACGACCTACATCGACAATGCTTTGAAATAAAGTAAATCAAGCGAATCGCTCGCCGCTTGCTACTTGCCATTCATCACCAAAAGAATATGTGCCCTGCGCACGCAACTGACTGCTTGGCGCTTGGCGTTAACGAGTACCTACTTACGACAAGCGACGGGTGAGTGATATTTCGCTCGAGCGATCACTCGGTTATTGTAATCGCTTTAAACTCAAGTACTCGACTATTGAAATTAATCGGGTTTTCTCATCACTAGTTATAATTACTGAGAGCATTTCTGGTCTTGGGTGCCGCAATTTTCCTGTATACGAAGATTACGGCCAATGAGTTCAATACAATAAGATGTACTGAATAAAGAAAGAAGAGCAAATATTTTCCAATGCGCATATGAAATCTGGAGTCTGATTAAATGATTATGTAATAAATACTTTGCATTTTTCTCTCTGACTTACTAGATCGCCATAGCGATTCACTTCTAGACATGTTAACACGGACCCAAGATTTCGCTTGCCGATAGGGTATGTATTTTGTTATTCTTTTGGAAAATTGAAGTTTTTAGTGAAACATAATGAAACTAATAATTCTAATATTTAAATAGGTTAATAACACACATATATTATTTAAATATTTGTCGAAGTAATACAGGGTGGTCTGAACTGTATTCCGGAAACTTCGGCAGCATATTCTGCAGATAAAAATAAATTAGAAGGGAATAAATTAGTGTATATCCTAAAATGTTTAGTTTCGGAGATAGAGGGTGTAGAAGTTTCATTTTCATTTAGATTTTTTTCAAATAATTTCTGAAGTAACGTCAATATTTGGATGAAAATTAGTGTTCGGATGTTTTTTGACATGAGAAATTTGATTTTGATGCCAATATGACTCAATGTAGGGGGCGCCACCTACATGTTTTAACTGTTTTGAACATTACTAACTTTTTGTCCGTACCTGTATATTACTAATGAATGAAAGAATATAAATTCTCGTGATTTTTTACGTAAAAAATGTCTTTTGGTAAAAATCGCTAAGAGCAACCGTTCTCACGATATTTGGAACGGAAATAGTCAATACATATCATTGACATAAAATAAACATGTTGAGTAGATAGTTATTAACTAAAATAAGATAAATTTGGGAACTTTTTATTTTTTTAAATTAATCATAATTTTTTCTTCGAAAAAATGAACAGTTGTTGAACTGTTGGCACAAAACCATTTCAAATTTATGATTTCAGTCTAACAGCTATTTAGTCAACATGTTTAATTCATGTCAATGATGACAGGTATTGATAATTTCGATTCCAAAAATCTCGAGAACCATTACTCGTAGCGATTTTTACCAAGACAACTTTTTTACGTAAAAAAACGTAAATGTATATTGTTTTACTCGATAACTTTATACAGGTACGAACGAAAAGTTATTACTTTTCAAACCAGTGAAAAAATATGTAGGTGGCGCCCTCTACGAGTAGGAGTCATATTGAGTTCAAAATCAAATTTCTCATGTCAATAAACTCCCAGACCCAATTTTCATCCAAATATTGACGTTACTTCATAAATTATTTGGAAAAAATCGAGATTAAAATGAAACTCCTACACCCCGTATCTCCGAAATTAAGTATGTTAAGACATATGTACATTTATATGAACTTTTTTACTTATTTTCATTTGCAGAATATGTTGCCGAAGTTTCCGGAATACAGTTCGGACCACCCTGTATATTAACATACCTCTTCGTTGGTGTGTCCATAATATGGTTGCTTAGCATAGCTGTATATCTCCCATAACACAATGCCGAATGACCATATGTCCGATTCAAGGGTAAACCTGCCATACACAACACTTTCGGGTGACATCCACCTAACTGGCAAGAGTCTGGATCCACCAATCTGGAATAAATCATATATTATTTAAATTGATCTAAAATATAAATCTACATTCCCATAAATATTACCATTATATATGAAATAAAAATACATAATAGGTATAGGGTAGACTGTATAAATAGGTACCTATAGGGTAGCCTGGGTACTAGGGTGAGTCAAAAAAACTAACCTATGGAATTTATGGGTTAAAATCAAATACGTTTAAATAAACGTATTTTAATTAAACGTATTTGGTAAAGATAAACCTAATAACCGAGAAAAAATTAAAAAGGGGTCGGTGAACATTCAAAGTTTTCCATTTAAATAACACTTAAAAAAATATTTTTCCATTAAACATACCATAACTTTGAAACTGTTGACGATAAAAAATTTTACATCGCGGATTCTTGTAGAGCATAAAATTTACTAAAAAATCTATCTGAGAGTAATCTAGTCTCTTTTTCCTAAATATGAAAATTCTAAACCTGTAATTTTTAACCAATCAAAACGTGTTTTTTTGACAAATCACCATGGCAACGGATAAATTTTAGTGAAAATTTTTTCCTTGTGGGTACCCAACAGTGAATTATACTGGAAATTTTTTGACGTTTATAATGACAGAACATCTTTTTGAGAGTCTGGTTTTTATTTGTTTACATGATAATTTTGATACATTTCAATTACAAAGGTGAGATGAAAGTTTCTAAACTGCTTCCATACGCTTGACTTCGATTTCCTAGTATTTGCGGGTGTCAACTGCTTAATCTCCTGGCAAATATTTTCTTTGCTGTCATGACCGAAACGACCGAAACGAAATATTTTTTTAAGCCGTGCCGCTTGACAGCTTCAAAACTGAAATAGTTTTTAGGTTTGGGCATAGATAAAAGAAAATAATCTACTATTAAGAGAAACTTAATAGTAAAATTTTGGGTCAAAGCGCCCCTCCGTGTTTTTAGTGGAGACTACGTTTAACCCAGCGCCTTCGCCTTTTCTGCTGTAAATGTTTTTTATGTTTATATTTGAATTCGAAGGATTTATTTTTAAAGTTACACTGATATATTAGTATATCAGAATAACTTTAATAAAACATAAGAATATATATATTTTACAATTTATTTTTTTATTTATTTTACAGAGTTTCATGTAAATGATCGTAAGTCGACTGGCTGTCTAATGAATAGACCGAGATATATAGATTTTAAAGCGAACGAAAAAAAAATCAAATAACGAATACATACCATATATTTTCTTTTATCTAAGATACATACTTTATCGTATTTTGGAAACACGTACATTTTTGCAGTTTTGTTAGTTTCTTTGCAAGATGCAACACAACAAGAAAACACCATTTTTACAGTTAATAAATAATAAAGCTATTTCTAACTATGATATTTAAAATTTAGATAGATAGAAAATTAAAAAACAAACCAGTATTTGCAGACGCAGGCCCAAATTCAATAAAAACCAAAATTTTTCCTGCGAAAATCGGGCTTTTTTTCACAGAAAAGGTATTTTTTGATTTATCAGCAGTCATTGTCAAGTTGACAATATACAAGGTGTTTTCGAAATAGTGTAAAAAAATTATGGTGTGATTCCTCATGTGTTCTTAAAACAATTTTTATATAACCATTGGGTCTAAAGTACTTCCTTTCTGATCTACAGGGTGTAAATCTACAATTTTTTTGCTTAACATAAATGGTACACCACTGCTTTTTTAAAGAAAATATATTTTTTTCTTGACTGGCCATCCTTTTTCAACAAAATTGATCTTTTGAGTTTTTCTTGTTCATCAAACGGTTGCCGAGAAAAAAATAACTATACTTATTAAGAGCCCGCCTTAATTCGTTTTCTAACGATTTTTTTATTTTTTAGATTAATTAGGAAACACCCTGTATGTGCATATCACAGGCAACCAAATAAACTAGTAACCTCTAAAAATTATTTTTCCTACCACTAGTGACATACTGTGTTTTTAGTGTGTACTAAATTATTTTATCAAAATTTCACCATATAAGTTTTCAGGCAATGGGTTTGGGTTGGTTTGGGTGTCACTTAGTTGTCATAGTAACTAAATAATCAATTCGACCAAAAATCGAAAAATACATTTTAATTATTTGATTTTCAAACACAATTTGGTGTGGAATTTTCTTACCGAATACCACACGAGGTCAAATTAAATCCGGACATTTTTTCTCGCTCATGAATATTTTTAGAAAAAATATTTCAAAATATTCATGAGTTCGAAAAAATTTCCGGAAATAAATTGACCTCTAGTGGTATTACTAGTGAAAATTTTTAATCGATCAAGACTAAAACTGAATAATTTTTGATTGAAAATTGATTTTTTTCACTTTTCAAAGCTTTCAAATACTGGGTGCGTCTCAAAAGTGGCCCCTATAACTTTTTTATTTTTTTTAATTAAAAAACGAGATTTGGTATGTTAGTATATGACATAAATTGGGATTGATTGGCGTATTCAATTGTTTTCGGTCACTTCCTGTTTCACCGGAAATGACTACAACTTTTGATTTTCAAATGGCACCCTCGGTATTTTTTTACTTTATTCAATAGAAAATAAAACTCTGAATAGAATGACATATATGTCAACTTTTGACATTTTCGCATATGATTTATTTGAAATTATAACTTGCGGTTCGTGACGAAAATTTGATTTGAAATACCAAGTGTGTGGTATCAAATAATTCGTAAAAAATGCTTTTTCCAAATATGCTAATGAGCCACCCTCGTTCCATTTGAAAAAATTGAGATATGATTAAAATACGATTTAAGAATTTCGTAACTGGCCAGGACGAGACACTAAAATCATTAGACGATCAAATTTATTTTTCCAAGGCTCCTTGATTAAGAATTAGTGTTTTTAACATAGTCATGGCATTCTATATTGAATTTTAAAATACAATTTTTTATAAAGAAAAATAAAGCCATATCTGCTGGCGGAACGGATGGATATGTTACTAGTGATTTTATTTTGTGAGGAAAATTATTTTTTGGCCTCAAGAGCTTATGCTCAAAGATATCCAAATAGGAATCTCCCTGATAAGTGTTCCTTTGAAAAACAACTTATCCTATTTCCTATTTCGCAGAGTTGGTAGTGTAGTTTATAACAAAAATCTATTAGGCAGAAACCTGTCGTTGAAAAGAAAGGAAGAAATTGAATTTGTCGTAATTGGCTCTTTTATAGAAAATCCATATATCTACAAGTTATCGTAAAATAAAACAAAGAAATATTTCTTCGTTTTCCTTGGTAGAAAATAAATACATATTAATAAATATTACTTATTAAACTATTGTAGGTAAATTAAATAAAAGTAAACTGGTATACATTTAAATAAAGTCTATAAACTAATTTCGATTTTGAAAATAGTTACTAACTGTCACTAGAAAATTGCCATGGCGATACCAGCCATCTTTATTGCCATTTTGTTTAAAAATTGCTTTTTATTCAAAATCTGAGATAGATAGGTATAGGAAACCCTAATATAGTTTGAAAGAGCATTTGAATCTGCTTCGATTGATTTAAAAAAATACAGGGTCTTGCGTTTGAAATAACAAAGTTTTTATGTAAAATAAATCCTTAAAATAGATCACCAATTTTTGGTACCCCTGTATAAATTTAAGGAAGCAATGACATTTTTCAGTAAAGTTTATTTCTTTACCTTTAAACTCAGCACAAGAATTAATTTTGAAAAGTAATGTACAGGGTGTTAATATTCAATTCTTTTGTAGCGTGCATATTTAAATATCTTTAAATATCTCAAAAACCAAAGATTTTAAACATATTTAACCCTTATAATAAATGCCCAAGAATCCAAACATGAAATAAAATACCGGGTGTTCCATAAGAAAAAATATAACTTTGGTATGGATCATAGTTCTGAGACACCCTGTATGTTTCAAAATAGTTTTCAATTGTGTACATTGCCTCTCCACATATACCCATAAATATTTTGTTTCTACATCTTTCCGTTTTCCTATAATCAACCGAGGCGAATGAGGTGCGCCATCCTGTATATTTATAATAATTTTTTTTTGCTTCCTAAAATATTTTCATTAACAGAAAATATATAAAAGTGGGCAACACTCTGCCGGTCAAACTTAATCACGTGACTAAAAATTTATTTGGTATGAACCGTATATTTTTATTTAAATACACAGAAGTATAAGAAACGAACGAACCAAACTCGTACTTTGCCTCTTATTATTGCATAGTTGAACGATCCAAAATCTCCAAATTAATATTACTAACCCCCCCAAAAACTAATTTACTCTTTTACAAGTTAATATTATTACTATTGTCACCTATTCTATACATAATACCTAATATACATTTTCCGTGAAACTTAAAAGCCATCCAAATGATAATTATTCAAAAGAATACAAAATGTTCGAATCAACTTACTATCTAAGGGTTTTCCTGGCATACTATTTCATAACATAAAGACGAAACTAAGCTTTTATCAACTTTCTCGGTTCGACAAATTCGAGCTGTATATACTTTAGTTATTAAACTCTAGTAGTTACTGATGGACGATAAGTTTTAAGGAATACTCGCCGCAAAATTATTCCGAACTAAACAGCGCTTTTTAGGTCTTTAATTGAAGCTTTGGAGATAAATTTTAATTACGAAAAAATGTCATAGCTGATGAAGTTTCCCTAATTATATTTGCATTAGAGAATGCAGCTGTCTTTCAAATTAATTTCACCAAAGAAGTTCGAAAGTTATTTCCATATTTATAATACGAGTTTTTTAGAATATATAGGTACCACAAGTCCCACTAAGAATGGATCTCGACTGTTTTTCGGAAAGTATTAAGGTTGATTCTCACTATACCTTCCGTTTCCATTCCATATCTATTCCATATTCGTCCTGTATTTTTATTGTATTGACGCTATACGTAGGCTTCCGTTCCGTATAAGTTCCATACTTTTTATTGTACAATTTATATCATTGCGAAAGTTTGATTTTAAAAATTTGTATCTTTTGAATAAGATAATAGATTTAA